CCTTTTCCCTGCCTTGTAGAGTTGAAGTTGCCTGCAGGGAGTTTGGCAGTAGAAATGGGTTTGGAGGCACTCAGAGAATAGGTGAAGTTGGACAGATAGGACTTGGGAAATAATAAAGGACAGCAGAAGTCCCTGTGAGCAAGGGGACCATGGTGCTTTTGTTTGCCCATCAGAAGCTGGGCTCCAGAGAGTTTCCTATCAGCATTCGTCACCTGATACCACAGAGTCTACACAGCAGGAGAAAGCAGTGAGGGCTGGACCCAGGAAGGAAGGAGGTAGGACCTTAGGCCCGAGAAGGCGACACGAGCAAAGACAGAGGACAAGGGCCCTTGCAGTGCTGGCCAGGGTTGCTGGCCAGGCAGGAAGTCACCCTAGATGCCTGATGCAATCTTGAAGAGAGTGCCAGGGCCTCTGTCCTGTGGGTCATTTGGGAGCTAGCTTAGACAGTGTAGCTTGGAGTAGCGGAGATAAGCGGGGAAGAAAGATTGAGCTTAGACCCAATCTTAAATGGCAGATTTAATTTTATTTTTTGGCGTGATTTCATGACTATATGGGCAGACTGTCTACAGGGCCCTGCCAGTGACTGCACTCAGTAAATGCTCAGTAAGTACTTGAATGCTGAAGCATTGCACAGTGCACCGGGCAGCTCACCCTTCCAGTGACAGGTCTCCGCCCCAGAGCTGCTGCTGACACAGGTCCTGACAAGTAGCACTCAGTGATGTCCACCCTACCAGGTGCATATCCATCCAGGCCAGGCCCCAGCTTTCACCCTGCCTGTCCTTGATGAGGCTGTGTATAGAGAAGCAGGGGTTCTGGCCTGGGAGCCAGAAGTCATGGGTTTTAGAATCGGCTCCTATAGCTGGGGCCCCTGGAACTCTGTGTCTCCAGTGGAGTCTGTCATACCTGTGTGTCCAGGGCTATTGTGAGGACAGATGAAGGCACATGAGCTAACAGCACCCTTAGTGTCACTGTAGGTAAAGTACCTGGCAAGCAGGGCCATGTAGCTGGAGCTCTCTACTTCCTAGTTGCTGGTTTCTTGGCACTAAGTGTTTGAGAGGAGGAACAAGGGTCTGGATGACAAAAAAAACCTTCCTCTACCTCCTCACCCCTGGCCCCATGGAAGAAACACAGCTCGTCTAAGAAGACAGGACAGCTCAGCCTGTGTCTCTTATGCAGGCATAATTAACACCAATGCCCCCTTTCACTCTCAAGCATTCCAATGACTTGATTGATTACCTTGGCGATAATCCATGCTGTGTCCACAACTCCCAGGTTCCTGAGAGAGCTAGAGTTTGCAAAATCAGTGGCTGTGGTTGTGTACAGAAAACCAGGACAGCTCAGGACTGTGTTCATGCTGCACCTGTGTCCCACTGGGCTTGGTCACCCGCACCTTCCTGTGTCCCTCGAGGGAGCTCTGTAGCCAGTACAGGGAAGAGAGGCATTGTAAAGGGGAGGTCCTGTACCCTCTGTTCTCATCCGCCTGGCTGTGGCGTCACAAGTTACAATAAGCAGGCTGCTCACTGTATCCTTGGGGGCATTTGTGTGCAAGGGGGTCTGAGTTTTAGTTTTACACTTTGAGTGGATGACGGAGGCCAGAAAATATCTCAAAGTGTTTTTTTTGTTTGCTTTTGTTTTTAGTGATATTAGCAGTTGAACCCAGAGCCTTCACACTAAACTGTATCCCCAACTGTTTTTTTTTTATTGCCCAAGCTGCTCTTGTGATCCTCTTGCTTCCCAGACTGCTAGAATTACAGACCTGTGACCCCACACGCAGCTCCTCAAAGGTTTTTGAACAGTTTACAACATTACTGAAGCAGCAACCATATTTTCCGCCACCTTCTGGGTCTGAGCTGTGCCTTTTGCCAGGACTTCCTCGAATCCCAGTCCCTATTACACAAGCCCCGCCCCTACACATCTCCCTCCCTCTCTCCCTCCCTC